TGCAATAAATCAACAAAAAAAGTTGTATAATATTAAACGAAGAACAGCATTGAATCATATATATTAAATTATATTTAAAACAAAGAATTGGATTAAACCATGTAAATAAAATAAAAAATATTTAAAACTTTTTAAATTATAAACTCCCAGCATAACATGAAATATAGATACAAGCATAATACAATGTATTATTATTACATACAGTAGAATCCCGTTAATTTGCACTCTAAAGGGGAGAATAGTTGTTGTCCGACTTGGCGAATGTCCGAAATAAGCAAAGTTCTCGTTAAGTTGGACTTTTTGAAAATGTCTGACTTACTGGAATTTCAAGACTTATCGAATGTTCTTCTATATATAAATATTATGTACATATATATAGAATATTATAATCTTATGTAAAATATATATTGAAGCATTCAAAGCTACTCCTCTCACTAACCACTCTGAGTAAACATCGATATAAATAACAAGGGTATCAATTGCTTGACAAAATTCTTTGGTCGTTGGCTTAGTCAACGTTTCATCCGAAGTTTCGTTTCCTTATTCTTCTTGCATTTCTTCTTCAACTACCTCAATGATATCTTTAACAATAATTTCATCTGTCACGACTTCTCCTATAACCGAAACGTCATCATCAATTGTAAACAGTTCTTCTTAAGTAAAATCTTTCGGAACATGATCTTCATCACGCTGACGTAACTGATTAATTGAATTTTTTAATGCATGAAAGTATTCTTCAACTTTTTCTGGTACTCCTACACCTTTCTTAAATCTTGCTTTGCGAAAGCAAAGCAAAATAATAGTGGTTTCTGAAACTTCATTTCAAGAATGAACAAGCATTTTCATAGCATCAAGTATGGAGATTGAAGACATTTGTTTTCCGATATCAATAGCTTTTATGATCTTGTTAATTAAATTAGTTCGGTACTTACATTTTAACGATCAACTGACTACTTGATCCATCGGTTTCAAACATGAAGTTATGTTTTGGGTGAAAAAATATAGTGTGACCGTTTTAAATTTCTCGATATTCGGATGTGCGCTACAATTATAAATAATCAATGCTACCTTACGGCCTTCTAATGCAAACTTTCTGTCATTTTCTTTAACCCATTCCTCAGATGTCAAACAGTTCTTTTTTTGCACACAGCAGCGATATGAAGTGCTTTTAATTCCTTTAAAGCAACGGGGTTTGTTTGATTTCCCTACATTCATCGGAAGTTTTCCTTATTCAGACCATATTAAAACGTAAATATATAAATACATATATATATATATATATATATATATATATATATATATATATATATATATATATATACATAGTAAATACAGTAATTCATCTCTTTTTTTAAAAGGTAAAAGAAAATACAACAGTCTTACAATTGAAAAGACAAATACGTGATTGTTATAAAAATTTAAATATATCATCGGTAGATAAAATAAAATTTTTAAGTTTAATTTTATGGATCGGAAATGTATTGGGTATATCAAAATTAGGTATAACAATTTTATACCAAAAATAGGGTGCTCGAAATGTAATGCAAAGTTTGTTAAATTTTGTTCTGCAAATAGGTTCATGTACAAAATTTTTATTTCTAAGTAAATATTTATTAATTGGGTTTAGAGAAAAAAAAAGGTCTTTAAAGACAGGTAAAGTTAAATCGTTTTTCCACATATAAATAAAGCATAAAATGTTATAAACATTGAGCTCGTAAATATTAAGTATTTTCATCTCCATAAATAATAGTTTGGAATGAATAAAACGATCCGCGAAATTAATCAATTGGATCGCAAAAAGGCATTTTAGCTTACTTTTTTCGGTGCTTCCCCACGCTATGTTGGCATAATTAATATAGGTGTGAATAAATGAGTAATAGTGTTGGGTTAAGGCCTTTTTGTTTAAATATGATCTAGATTTATATAAGGTTCTGGATTTAGATATTTTTAAGCAGATATATTCTATATGCCTTTCCATGTAATGTTCTCGTCGAGAACCACTCCTAAAAATTTAGTAACAAAATCTCTTTTTATTTCAACTTTATCAATAAATATTTTGGGCAAATTTTGGGGTAAATAGCGTTTTTTAGAGAGTGAATGGAAAAAAACCCATTTGGTTTTATTAATGTTAAGAGTTAACTTGTTACATTTGAACCAAGTAGATATGTTTTTAAGTTCATCATTCATTGTAGAAAAGAGTTTGGATATGTCATTAATAATAGTCAGGAATAAGTTGGTGTCGTCGGCAAACATGATACTCATTAAGTTTGAGGCTTTATTTAAGTCATTTATATTGATTAAAAACAAAAGTGGCCCCAAGATAGAACCTTGGGGAACATCACATGAAACATTTATTTCATGGTCGACAGTATCAAAGCCTTCGACAAGTTAATAAAATCACCTTATGTAAATTGAGATCTTTGAAAGGAATTTGAGATTTCTCGCACAAATTGGATGATTGCATGTTCGGTAGAATTATTTTATGAATCCAAATTGATTATTATAAAAAAGATTATTGGAGACAAGATAAATGTATACTCTATTGTACATAATACGCTCTAAGATTTTTGAAAAGGTAGAAAGGATAGATATAGGGCGATAGTTACTGATATTGCAACAGTCTCCTTACTTCAAAATTGGAAAAACGTTTGCAATTTTTAGACGATCAGGAAAAACTCCTTGGTGGACAGATGATTTATAAACTTTATAAAGAATATTTTTGAGATGATCAAAACACTCGATAATTATGTCATCATTAATTCCATCAGCTCCGATAGCTTTTTTTTTTTTTAGTGGTTTGAAGGCGATTTTGAATTCATTAAAAGAAAATTTTGAGTATATTTCTTTGGAACAGTTGACAATTTTTAGACAATTTCGTTTTTAAGATATTTTATATACAACTTCTGTTTTGTTTTAGATGACTTTTTGAAACCTTTGGTAAACCAAGGGTTATTAAAATTGTTCATTTTAATTGTTTTTACAATAATTGAAAAGTTTGAATCATATACGGCGTAAAATGTTTTAAAGAAGGTCTCATAAATGGTGTCAACATTCCCTTTGAAAATTATATGATCCCAGTGCACAAGAGATAACTGATTTTTGAAGAGATTCTTATTGGTTAGATTAAAATCTTGAATAAATATTGTTTTATAATTATTATTAATCAAAGCGTTTAAGTTAAGAGTCAGAAACACTGGGAAATGATTAGAAATGTTAGATTTTAAAATGCATTTTTGAATGTCATTGTTAAAGATATCAGTTGTAATGATATTGTAAACTAGAGACGTTGAGTTTTTTGTTACACTAGTAGGGCGATTAATCAAAGGAACTGCTCCAGCTTCAAAAAATGAGTCATAAAAGTTTTTAACTTTATTGTCCTTATTATAAAAAAAGCAATCCATATTAAGATCTCCAAAAATAATTAATCCATATTAAGATCTCCAAAAATAATATAGCTCACAATCACGCCGTCAGGTGGTCGATAGCAGGTGCTTAATAATATATTTTTAGATGTCTTGTTTATGATTTCAATAGATAAAACTTCTTTATCGCTGTCGGAAACACATAAATCATTCCTAACTAGATGCGTAATATTTTCATTTATGTTTATAGAAACTCCACCACCGCGTTTATTAACTTTTCTATTGAGCGAAATCAATTTAAAATGAGGAATATAAAAACGTTTAGTATTATTAAGGTCGTTTGAGTTAAACCATGTTTCAGTTAAGCAAATTATATTAAAAAAGTTTTTTGTTTCATCTAGTAAATTTAGCAATTTTTCAAAATTGTAACTGAGACTTCTAATATTTATAAAAACAATGTTAACTTTTTTCACATGCGCATTTCTGTCATTAAAGTATTTAAAAAGAAATTCTTCTAATTCATTTGGGAAATGATAGAAGCAATCTGTAAACGAATTGATAAAAAAATTTACATCAGGGTTGATGTTATCATTAGTGATAAAATTATTTATTTCAGTATAATGAAAGCTAAGGGATTCGAAGTCGTTAATTCCAGCCATATTTGTTATTGGGAATATTTTATTAGAAAAATAATTTCTTTTTAAAACTAGGTAGTATAGAATTTCTGTGATCTCTGCAAAAAATTACACAATAACTAAAAATGACATACTTACTTTCTTTGCGCAGTTTTGCTTTCGCAGTTAACATCTTCAATTTGACAAACTTTGACTTCTTGTGGGCACATTAGATGCGAGTTTGACGTTGCAATACGTTTTCTGGTATTCCAATCTCTGACAATAAATTCATCGTACGAAATGTAAGCAGTTTACGTTCGACTTTCATTCTGTCGCGTAGTTACTTTCGTATTAGGTTTGTTACCATACAGTAGTCTTCGGATATGTAGATGTTTTTACCTTTTAGTTTAAAAGAATTCTTGAGTATTTTGGTTTTGCCTTCAAAATTTAAAAGTTTCAGGACGATTGTTTTGTGTTTTTTGTTTTCAATTTTCCCTGTCCTTTGCGCTCTTACAATTTTAACATTATGAACCCCTAGGTAATCTTTAAATATTTTTTTAACTTTTAGTTCACAGTCATTCCAGCTTTCGTTGTCATTTTAGGGGAAACCATAAATCCTAAGGTTGTTCCGCCGATCGATCTTCGATCTCTTTAAGTTTGTTGTTTATTTTTGAAAGCTCGTCGCTGTTGTTATTTGATTTGATATAATAATTTACGATAAGTTAACTTTTGTAATTGTACCAATCGCGGTTTTATTTTTTTTGTTAAATAAGTCTTCATGAAAGTTTTAGCTAATTTTAATTTAATCAACTTCCTTCATAATAAATGCTATTTTGTTTGAGTTTTCTAAAATAATACATTCAACTTTATCTAAACGATCGTTTATTATTTTGGTGTTTGAACTAACGGTGTTGACAAAAGTGATTTCCTGGTTTTTCAGCATTTCTTCTCAGTTTTGAACTTTTTGAACATTTCCTTGATCAACTTTTGGACTTCCTCAATCGAAACAGACATGGTTTAAAAACTTATTACACAGGGACTAAAAAGTTTCAGTATGTGTTTTTTTCCATATAACATGCTTTGTCCAAATCCTCATTTTTAGAGACACGCATCCACACTCTTCGCAGAAGTTTTATTTTTTTCGACTTCTGAACATACTGTATCTTTTTCTTTTGACCATCCAGACTACGTTTGCTTTGGAATGCCATGTTTCTTTGATATAGATACAGATGATTCTGCTTTGTCAAGTTTTTTTAGTGTTTTGTATTTTTCTTTTGTTAGTTCTACTTGATAGCTTTCTTTAAGCAATCTTTCACATTTTTAGTAAGTTAAAATTAATCGAAGTACAACTGAATCGAAAAAATCAGTGAAAATGTTTAGTTCTTTAAATTGACGCAAAGGTAGTTTTCAAACGTTTTAATTTTTGAATTTTAATTGATATTTTTGAATTTTAAATGCAATTAACAAATAGAATTTATGCGAAGCTTAAATGAATCAAAAGATCTCCGTGAAAATGTTTAGGTATGTTTAATTGTATTTGCGTTTAAAGCGTTTAAAGTTTTAAATTTTTATTGAAGAATTAAAAGTTTTGTTATTATATTCACTTAAATCCAATTCAAAATAAAAGTCCAAGTTAAGCAAAGTTTTTTTTGCCGAAGGGACCTCAAAAAATAGTAGGTGTTAGTGAATGGTCCGACTTAAGCGTATGATTTTGCAGTAAGTTAATAGAGAATATTCAAGGGTAATTGAAAATTCGTCCGATTTAGTAAAAGTCCAACTTATCCAGGGTCCGAATTAATGGAATTGAACTGTACTAGCAATACCCGCAATGCTGGTTATTAGTTATTAAATTATTAATAACAATAAAAACACATTAATAACTTGATATATTATCTAAAAAATTAAATACAACTTTATCTATAAATAATATTTCAAGTTTGACTCCCAATCATAAATGTCATTGCTTATAGTTAACGACATAAATACTGCCTTAATAACAGTTAAGTTCTATGTAAAATCTCTCACAACACAGCAGTTACCAGAAAAGAAAAGTCAAGTACACTCACTACCTTTATCTCTAGTAGTTATTGTTCGGCAAATTACTAAACTCGTCAAAGTAATTGCAAGTCGGATATAATCTAGACACAACCTTTCTCGAATGACTGCTTACATTTTGAAAACGCGCTAATTCATATTTCAGAAAGGCCTAGTAACTAATTAAAACTAGTTAAAAAACGAAAGTGAAACGGCACTATTAAATTACAGTACGTTGACTTAATCCGTAAACCAGCCAACTCCATATGTATAATATGTTCAGGAACAACAAAAAACTGAATAATTTAATTATTAAATGGAAAAAAAAAAAAAATTAAAACACAATTTTGTAGATTATTAATTCAGAAATTGGTTTACAATGAAGTTTTATGAATATTTCGTTTAAATGATTACTTAGGAGGAATAATTGGAGTTGCCTCTATTTAATAACCAAATTTTAAATTATTTTGGGAGTTGGCTGATTTTTCATATTAACTTTAATAATTATTGTATAATTTAATAATTGCTTTAATAACATTAATGATAAAGTGTTTTTATTTTGAGTTCTAGAAAATAGTTTAAAAATACAATAAAAATTATGCAGGGATAAAATAAGCATTTTAGAATTGTAGATAAGAATTATCTATTGTTTAAATATAGCTATGCATGATATAAAATATTGAAATAGAACTCATGATAATCTAAAGGCAGGGTAGTTTTCAAATCCTGGAGGTCTCATCTGAAAACTTTAGCTTATAGTAGATGTTGCCATCCGTGATATATTGTAAGCCACGAATGTCAGTTACCTCATTTTGTGTCAAAACATATATTGTGTTAGTAATAAATTTAAATACCTAAAAGTAAAAAAAATGTAATGACTCAAGGAAAAATGCATGTAAGTATTCGATAAAACCATACCTTGGGGTTCCCTTTTATTTTTCCAGGTCTTATTGATTTATAAAATTTGATTGAGTCAAATGATTTGAAAAATGAATGCGTCAGGTAGGAAATATCACAAAGTTCTGGTTTTTTCCGAGCACTTCTACAAGCTCCGTAGTATTCTACAGGTACATTAATAACTTTATTTTTTAATTTTTTTTTCTATACATGCATGCATTGAGTCGGCCTCCATTTGGGTATGCCCATCCTCTAAATACTTCTGTTCAATGTTTATTTGCTTGGATATAGCTATATTCATCAAAACATTCGACAATATTGGATTTCTGTTTTGTGACACGCAACCATCACTATATAAAATCAATTTAATATTGTTTGGCCTGTTGAGTCTGGGAAGAAATTTCTGGATAATGAATTTCCCCAATATGCTTGCATATTCTTCAGCATTTAGTCCTCCCTCAATTTCATTCCACAAATAACAGTCTCCGGCCTATGTTGTAAGATCAAATAAACAAAAGTTATAAACACATAGCTTCGTTTCATAATACAGAGAAGAAACATTTGCTTTGGTACATCAACTGTAAAAACAAACTCTTCCTATTCTTTGTCTTTCTGTTTTTCAATTCGTGCTTCATTTTTTCTTTGTATATGTTGGTTGTAGTCTAGGTCTGATATAAAGCCAAGCTTGTGTGATAAACATTTTTCACATAAATCTTTTTTAGGTAGGAATAAAGCAATATTTTCGGTCTCCATTGTGTTATTAAATCTTGCTACAGACAAATGGGCAATGTTGTTCGATAAACATCATTCAGACACAATAAATTTATAAAGGGATTTTTTTGTAGACCATTCGGGTAAAATATATTTCTTAGATGTTAATTTGCGGCAGTAGTGCGATTCCATTTTTTGCAAACTTTTTAAAAAATCTTTGAGTGAAGCTACTTTTATATGAAATAAATTCTCTCTAGCCTTTGGTGATTCTACCAATGATATTGCTTGGTTGACAATTGATCTTCATTTCTTCAAAACCCCATACGGTTGATTTTCCAATACACAGAGTGTTTAAGAACATTGTCTTACAGACTCTGTACAATTTTTCTTCTTTCCTTAAATAATAATCAATTGAGCTAATTCTTTAGGATTTTAAAGCATCCTATCTGTCTCTCGGTCTATTGATAGGAAAGCATTTGGCAAGACTATTAACATACACCTTCTTTTCTCCCTAAGTCATCTTTCAAAAACTTACGAAGATTTCCGTTCGATCTGTGTCTAAAATATCCAAACATTGAAAGCCAGATTTTTTGTTTGATGCGCATTTACACCTTGGTTTCAGCCTTTTTTCATTTTTAGGCACATCAGTGATTATTTTGTCGCCTATTCTTTTGCGTCCAAAATTTTTTTATAATCTTTCCATGTGGATCTGTCAACCTGACATCTCCTTCGCCGTTTGACTTTTTTTGTCCCTTCTTCATCACCATCAGATTCTGAGTCTGAGTGCTCAGTATATAGGACCAAGAGAGCATTTTAATCTCTTGCATCGATAAGGTTTTATCAATGATGAGCTATTAACTATACCGCAAGGTGTTTGTGGATCCTGATTTGGCGCAAGAGCTTGAATGGAGACTCCAAACTCACTTGTGGGTGTGTCATGTGTTGGGAATATTTTTTTATCGAAAACAGTAGTGTAATTGGGTAACATAAAATCTTCGCCGAAGATCATTAAAGTAATTGTTTCGATAGAACTGTCTTTATGAGAACATGAAAAATCACTCTGTATTTCTCCATTACAATAACCAATGTCTTCGGTAAATGACATTTTAAAAAATCATGTACAGGGGCGGATCCAGGGTGTCGCGAATGATGCGCATGCATCAGTCTTTTTCAACGCTAAATTTAAGTGTATCTCTTTTCAAAGTAAAAGTAGAAATTGGAATCTGGTATAAACAAAAAATAAAATACTTGTTTTAAACTCGAAAAAAATTCATTTAAACTCGATTTTATTTTATCTCTATAGTTACTTATTCGTTACTTATACAAAATTCCTGCGTTTTGGAGCAACTGATGCAATTGTTCTTCATTAAATACAAATGTGATTAGTTTAAAAAAAAAAAAGGACGTTTTAACCAATCATATTTGTACTTTTTCATAAATTTTTCCGATCACTTTGTAGCAACTGATGCAATTGTACTCTATATCATTAATGATTGGTTAAAAAACAGTTTAAACCAATCATTATTTAATAAAATAACAATTGCATCAGTTGCTACAAAACTTCCGCAAAAAACTTTACAAAAAAGATAAGAAATGTTATTTATAACCAATCAAATTTGTAGAAAGTTTAGAACAATTACATCAGTTGCTCCAAATCGTTCAAATTTTACAAAATTCTGATATGCCACCAGATACAGGTTCTTCGCTCGTAATTTTCGTCGTTGGACTTTGCTTGTAAACTAAAGTTTAAAAAAAAAATGAATTTTTTAGTCTCAAATGCAAATAAGGCTAGACATTTGCCAAATATTCGCATATATAAAAACCAGTTGACTGAAGAATTGAAAGTTTTAAATAATAAGAGTCCAGTTCAGCCACATATTCAGTATCTGAAAATACTGAAATGGATCGTTTTATCCCAAAGCAAGAAGATACTAAAGATTATGTTGCTTTAAGGTAAAACTCTATTATTAAAGTTAATGGTATTTTATATTTCCAGCTAGTATTTAATATAAACTGAGCTTGTTTTAGTACACTTTTTATTTTATTAAAGGTCATCTGAAGATGGAAATTGCCTCTACAGTTCAGCTTCTCTTTTAAGCAATTCGTCTCTGAAGACAGTTAATGTGTTAAGGCTTCTAACTTCGATTGAATTGTTTGAAAAAGCTTCCTACTATGCGAGGTACTCCATTTTTGTTAAACAGGTTGAAAACAATAATTTTTCTAATCTTTCCAGTGTTCTAGTAGCCTGTGTTTCTTTTGAATGTTCAGATCAATTTAAATTAATTAACAGTGAATCAGCTTCTGAAATTATAATAATGGAAGCATTAATCAACTGCCGAGCTAACAAGTTTTCTTCATTTTTATGTCTAATTGCTTTGTCATCAGTTTTAAATATTCCTATTAGATCAATTTATCCAGATGTTGGCTTAGAAAAATTCAAAAAACTTTTTAATACAATTATTTTTCCATTTCGTTCAATTAAAAATCAAGATCAAAATGTTTTAAATATTTTATGGTGTAAAACTGATATTATGTCAGTGATGCAAAATAATAATAACTGGACACCGAACCATTTTGTACCAATTATTAAAAAGCCTAAACTAATTTCTAGTAATAATAAGAATTTGGCTATAAAAAACAATGCTACTTATCCTTTACACTTTTTTAGTCCTAAAACTGAAACAAA